CGTCAGTTACTTTTAACTTTCTATTATAAAAAATAAATGCTAAGCTAGTAATTTTAGTTTAAAGTAAAAAGACTGAACCCTCGGAAAATATTTTAAGTATATAATTTTTAAAAGTTAACATCTTAGATAAGTTTTTATATTATTATTTAAGTTAAAATATCTGTTATAGTATGTAAACTTATACTATATATTTCTTTATAATAAAATACAATATTTCTAAGGGTTATATATACCCTCGTTATTCAAGTAATATTACTTGAATAACGAGGGTATATATAACCCTTAGAAATATTGTATTTTATTATAAAGAAATATATAGGATAAGTTTACATACTATTTTAACTTAATTAATTTTAAGTATATATATTTTAAATATTTACATTTTTAAACTGAGACATTTATTTAGACTCGCTCCATATTATATCATATATAATATAATGTATATATATATATATATATATATATATATATATATATATATATATATATATATATATATATATATATATATATATATATATATATATATATATTTATATATATATATATATATATATATATATATATATATATATATATATATATGTAGATATATATATATATATATATATATATATATATATATATATATATATATATATATATATATATATATATATATATATATATATATTATCAAATCTGCTTTTACAACTGTAAAAGCAGATTTGATAAAAGTAGTTTAATTTCTTTTCACAGATTCCCTTTAAATGATGAAATGTTATGTAAAAAATGGGCAACAGCAACTAAATGTTTACAAATTACACCTAGTAAACATAGTAGAATCTGCAGTAAACATTTTAAATTAGAAGATTTTGAGTGTCAAGAGAATGGGAAACGTGTGCTGAAAAAAAATATTGTGCCTTCAATATTTGACTTTCATGAATCATTGAACAAAAATAACAAGCGAAATCAGCTATATAATGATGATACATCACACATTAAAAAAACAATTTGTTCTATCTCGAATAAAGAGGTAACAGAGCTTGAAATTACAAATACTATTAAGGAAAAAATACTTAAACAAAATTCTCCAAAAAAACTATTACTTAGAAAAAAGATTAAAATATTAAAACAAAACCTTAAACGAAAAGATAAAAAAATTGCTTCACTTAGCAAAGTTATTCAAAACTTGGAGAAAAAAAAAATTATTTCCATTGATGTTGCTGAATTACTTGAGAACAACTTCTCTGGACTGACTAAAGAACTTTTGAAATCTGAATTAAAAAATAGAGGCAAAAAAAAAAAAGGTTATAGATACTCTGAAGAAGTTAAAAAATTTGCTTTAACACTGCACTTTTATTCTCCAAGAGCATATGAATTTGTTAAATCTACATTCTCATTACCTGCCGTAAGCTCACTTTCAAACTGGACCTCATCTGTAGATTGTTTGCCTGGGTTTTTTGGAGATGTTTTCAAGTTTTTACAAAATAAGACATTTGAGGATTCATCATACAAAGATTGCGCATTAATATTTGATTCTATGCATATCAGGGCTGCTCTGCGGTATGATAATGTTACTGGATCATATGAAGGTTTTTCTAGTTTTGGAAACAATATTCTAGCCTATGACCCAGATAAATTAGCAACAGAAGCACTTATTTTTATGGTTGTTGGATTGAAAGGCCATTGGAAATGTCCTATAGGCTATATATTGTGTGATAAAATTTCCTCAACGGATTTAAGTTGTCTAATTAAAAATGCTTTACATTTATGCGCTACTCATAATCTGAATGTTTGGAGTATAACATGTGATGGACTTATTTCCAACTTTAGTGCAATGAAGAATCTTGGGTGTTCATTTGGAAGTAAAATTAAAGAGATGTGTGGTAGTTTTCCCCATCCTGAATATGATCATCCTATATATTATATCCCTGATCCTTGTCATATGCTTAAATTAGCTCGAAACGCTCTGTGTAGTATCGGTATCTTTGTTGATGAACAAAATCAATATATAAAGTGGGACCATATTAAAGCATTGCATAAACTGCAAGAAGAAGAAGGATTTAAGTTTGCAAATAAACTTGGCAATTACCACATTGACTTTCGCAGACATAAAATGAATGTTAAAATTGGAGCTCAAACGCTAAGTGGTTCAGTTGCTGATGCTATAGAGTTTTTGATGGTCTCAGGTCATCCAACTTTCATTGATGCCCAAGGCACAATTAATTTTATTAGAACTTTAGATAAATTATTCGACTTGTTAAACTCTAAAAACCTTTTTGAAAAAGGATCTAAGAAACCTTTGTTTTTGAATGAAGCTCCAAAATGGATAGAAACCATAGAAAAATCTGTAAATTACTTAGTTAACTTATCAGACCTATCTAAAACTTCTTTAATTAAACACAGAAGAAAGACATTTGTACTTGGTTTCATTGTAGCAGCCACAAGTGTTAGAGATTTATCCCTTAACCTTTTATCTAGACATGAGAATCCTTTTGAATTTATTTTAACATATAAACTGTCACAAGATCATGTTGAATTATTATTTGCTTGTATTCGAGGCAAAAATGGTTTCAATAACAATCCAGATGCACGTCAGTTAAAATCTGCTTTAAAAAGAATTTTATTAAGAAACTCTATCATAGGATCAAAATTTAGCAACTGCCTTACTTTTGACCAAAAATCTTCTGGCTCAATCTTTTTATTAAAGTGGAGTAAAAGGAGATCTCCTCTTGTTGAGCAAAATATAATATCTAGTGAGGATTCTAACTATTTTAAAGACCTTGCTGGTTGTCTTTCATCAGTCTCTACTTCAATTTATAAAGAAGCTATACTTGGATATATTGCAGGGTTCATTGTAAGAAAACTTTATAGTAAAATTACATGTCTGACTTGTGCCAATAGTTTAATTTCTCCGAAGACTTTATCCACTGATCATGAGTATTCTATATTTTGCAGTTCATCATGGAAAAGTTTTACAACTTTTAAAAATCGAGGTGGTTTAATCTTTCCATCCTGTAGTGTTTTAAAGATTGTTGAAAAATGTGAGCACGTTTTTAAAGTTTTGGTGTGTGGGGCAGACCCCCATAATTTAAAAATATCTTCTAAAAAAAATCTTAAAACCTATCTGGTGCACTTTATAAATCAAAAACTTGCAAATGACGCACTGTTTACTGAACTAAACATGCATGATTTAGAACATGAGATTTTGACTGAAGACATGCATTCTTCACAGCTTTTAAAAAAAATTATAGAAAAATATTTAACATTGCGTCTACACTCATATGGTCAGCTGTACACTAGAAATGAGTTGCATAAAGGAAAGATTGGATTACGGCAACAGTCCAATAAGCTTGTTTTGTTCAAAGGTTTATGAAAAATTACAATAATAATATTCAATATTATTTGTAAGCTATTTATGCCAAAAAATAAAATTAATTCTTTAAAACAAAAATTTTATTATTTCTGAAAATTCCTTAACTGTAACTGTTAAATGTGTGTTTCAGTTTTTTGAACTAATTTAAATTTTTTAATTGAAAACCTACATTAAAAATAAAAATTTATACCTATTTATATCAGCAACACTTTTGATTTATTTTCATAATGGAATATGTGTTCTTTTATAACAATAACTTAAAGGGGTCCAACAGGGTACTTTTAAGTTACAGTTGTAAAAGTCAAAAACATATTTTTTGCCAACATATATTTATATTTGCCAAGTAAAAATGTAATATCTTTGTATTATATAATAACTTCTAACTTTCTTTATCTACAAACGCTGTTTTTAAATAACAGATATTTTTAACATTTAAAAAGTTAACATCGTCAAAATATTTTTTTCTTTGCTGCGGCTACCGGCTTTATAACCTTCAAAAACTTGCTTCATATTTTCTTACGGAATTTATACGAAGTTAGACATCTAGTTAAATATATATCATTGGTTTTAATGTCATCGTTAGTTGTTACGTTTGATCAGTTAATTATTGTTTGAAACTGTTACTTTGTATGTAAAAACGATATGGAAAATTATACTGATTTATTTAAATTACTTTTGTTAAAATAACGTTATTATTTTTAATAATATTTTTTTTATTATTACTATTTTTATTAGGTGTTTACGTGGTGTTAGTAGTTTATAATATTTGTAACAACCTTGAAATGTAAGACTAAATATTTCAGAAATATATATCGATTGTTCCAGTTTGTAAACTTTTCTAAATAAGAGTAAAAATATAATGAGAATAAAACGAGGCCGTGATTTTACAACGGCGTTTTATAAGACGTCCGGGTCTCAGTTTCTAAACCAGCCTAATATTTAAACCACGTTAATTAGTCTTGCTTCGTAAAAAATTATGTTTCTGGAAAAAAAACCCTTAAAAACCAAATACTTAGCAGCGCCTACATCACACAAAATGATTAAAGACTTTCATTATGCCAAGCTGGGATAACGTCAAAGCGCATAGTTTTACAGGACTTCATTAAATGTACTGATAAACCATTAGAAAAATTTTCATTCAACGCATTAAGAACAAAATTTTAAGAAATTTAAAAATTAAGAAAAAGGTAAAAACGAGTTGTTTTTAATATATAAATATACATGTTTATCTGCTTAATTTCACTTAATATACACGAAAGAAATGCAATAGAACCGCAACAGAATGAAGTATAAAAATGAAAACTTCAGAAATTACTATGAAATTTTCAAAGAAAACTAAAATGCGGCGAATGAATATATCAAGATTAAATATAGAAAACCAAAAGAAGTTTCAAAAAAATAAAGAGACCATTTTAGCACTTTTAAAAACAAATTCAAGTTCAAACAAAAAAAAAATTGAGGTACCTATTTGAGCGACTTTCGTATTTACGAAACTAAAGTACGATGTCAGCAAAACCTAATAAATTTCAATAAGAAATAGCCGAAGGCTGATTACATCGTTGAAATGGAAATTTAACGATGTAAAATATTATTTTGAAATTTAATTACACTCTAAGTAAAAACTGAATGAATAATGAATGAATAAAAATGCCAGCATATTATAAATATATAAGCTATATACATAAGCTTTATTGCATTTCGTTTTTAGCAAAGGAAACACGCAGATGACTGGATTCGTTTAATTTTCGATTGTGAAGTTTCTAAAAAAAAAAAAAAAAATTGAATAGGTGCAGCTTTTAGTTAAATACTTTTTGTGATTCTCTATCACGATTTGGGAATTACTTACTGGTTTTATAAAGATACATTTAACAATGAACTCCAACACTTTTGAAAGTTAAAAACACTTACAATTAAACATATAAGAGCTTCTTCTACCGTACTCATTTGTATCAACGCCATTTTTCGGTCTTTAGGAAAAAATCTGAAGTTATTAATTGTTCCATACTCAGCAAACATTTCCTGGAGTTCATCCTCTGTTACAGATTCGCTAAAATAATTTTTTTTTAAATAACAATATATATTATTTAGTATAATGTACTCTACAGAGCTAAAAATAGCCACAGGACATAGTCCAGCAAAAAACATCATTTAACAGTCAGTCTGAACCGTACTATTTTATACTAAATTTTGAAAAACGTAATAAAAAACACATTTTTTTAAAACCCTACTCTATAACGAGCAAAACATAATTAAAGAGCGTTTTTCTGAATGGAGCTAAGTCCGTTTTATCTAAAACTGAGTCTTTTCAACATTCAAATTCTGTATTAAAAAAGGTACAAATTTAACCATGTTAATTTTGTTTAACTACCCGCTAACCCAACTGTATTATTAATCAAACAAAACTAAACTTACGGTATGTTCGAGAGATGAAGTGACTGAATAGGAGCAAATATATTTTGAAAATTTTTAGATCCTGGTTTCTGCAAATTAAAACAAAACAGCAAAACTATTATGCGAATGAAATAAACTAACTAATACACAATAAGATAAATAGATCTAACAATTACCTTAAACCTATGAAGTGGAGAGTTAGAATAATCTTTTGTTAATTCTTTCCCTTCATCATCAGATTTAGGCATATGCACATAATCATGCTTCGACCGAGATACACGCATTTCATTGCCAAATAAAGTGACATTGTTTAAGTTTTGTAGTGCTGAAAAACAGTTTTTCTACTTTAATTTTTTAGCTTAACTAAAGCTGAAATGTTAAAAAAAATCAAATATATATAAATGTAATAAATAAAAAAGCAATATAAAAATGTAATAAATAAAAGATACCAGTAGATGCCTGCTGAGCATCTGCAAATTGTATAAGGGCAGTATCTTTTTTGTTAAACAATATTTTTACTCGAAGCACATCACCATAATGACCTTTTTAAATAAATGTTTAAATGTTTATTTTTCTAAAAAAATTTTCCCTTGAAAAACAATCTAAGCAAAAACACATTTGAAGTAAACAATTTAAAAATTACTAACATTCTTATTACACCCAGACATGGATTGTTAAACTATATTTTAATTTTAAATGATGCAAAAATTTGGTAAAATCATAAGCTACTGAGAATTTGACTTAATTGACTTACACTAAACATCACTAACATTCAAAATTTAAATGATTTTACAACACATATTACTAAGTATTACAATTTTTTCTCCCCCAAAAAATTAAGGGCTATGTTCTAGTCAAGTTAAAGCTGGGAAATTTTTTTAAATACCAGAACAGTAATACAAAAATTATAAGATAATTTAGATTTTAAAAAAGGCAGGCATGTAGACAACAGAACACTTAATATAGATGCATATTTATACAGATAGAATTGTAAAGACATGCTCCATAGATTATAATTTTGAAATTTAAATGGCCCCAAAAATCATTCAAGAAAATACTTAATTACAATAAACTGTGAAATATTTCAACCAATAAGAGACGAGAAAAATATTTACCAAAGAGAATAAACAGGTCATCACAGGAGATTTCCTAGAAGTACGTAAAGAAATAGGTGAATATGAAATATAGAATTAAAAGTAGAATTGAACAATTTCAAAAAGAAAAACAGGTGAGTAAGAGATAACTTCACCTTAAAAATTAATTTAAAAATTGTTGTGTATGTGTATGTGCGTATGTGTATAACCATACCAACTCAAAACAAAAGTTAACTTGATTTTTTTTTTCTTGTTTTAAATGTATTATAAAGCATTAAAACATAGGAATGTTAAAATATCTCTTATTTGAATATTTAATTCTTGTAAAAATAAAAATCTCAATGAATAAGCAACCTCTACTTTAGTATATATTATACTTGCTGTTTTGTTTTAAAGATACTTTTGTTCTGAGTACTGTATGAGCGTTAGAGGCAACTAGAAAAATTATGCAATCTGTCAAAATTAAAAAATTAATTACGTAAAAATGTAAACTTACTTAATGAGTTTGATTGAACTGATTATTACTGACAAAATTATTTACTACTTTAAATTTATTTTTTAAATATATTTTCAGGGGTATCTTTTTACTAACTTATATACAATTAATGTTTTTAAAATATGACTTGCATTAACAATTTTACTCACAATAAAGTGTGAATGAAATAGATTATGGTTTCGGTTAAAATAGGTACTACTGATGTTTTATTATTTTTAAACCTATCATAATGTTCAATGATAAAGCAATTAATTGTAAAGAGAAAAAAAAAAAATATTGCTAAAAATCCTGTGTTGGAAAGATGGAATGAAAGTAAAAGGATTCAGGGTAAACATTAAAAAGACAAAAGTTGTGCATTACAAAGTTTTCAAGTTAATTTTGCTTTGTTTAATATACCCCAAAATTAAAATAATAATGATTGATTTAGTAATATCCTAGGCATTTTTTTGAATAGATAAGCTATTAACATTTGAATGCAAAATTACAAGTTATATTTTAATTCTAATAAAAAACATTAAAATCAAGGATTTTTCTAAAAGGTTTAGATTTTTACAGAATAAAGTTTTTAAAATAGTACAGATTGCTTAATGCTTTTAGTTGCCAGTAACATGTAGTTTATACCGCGGATTCAAGTAAAACATCACCAATAAAATCATACTGAAATAGATATAAGCATTTTATACACAATAACTAATTGTTAAGTTTAATAACTAATTGTTAACTTATTGTTTCTAAAAAAAAACTTAATAGAGAAAACTACTTTTTTTCTAGAGTAGGATTTATTTGCGCATTTCAGAAATTAAATTGGTGGAATACAATGAGACCTAAATCCGCAGTAGTAAGTGTGTGCTTGTGTGTGCATGTATGGAGTGCTGCTAAGGTAACAATACATGACCTTAAAATTAATACTCTTAAAAAAAAATTTGTAGCTAATTTTATATAGCAGAGAAAATTTTGTAGATAAAAAGTTCAACTAGTTTTTGAATAAAACAAAACAAAAACAAAAAAAACAAAATTAGTTAACATCAAAAATTTCTAAGCAACAAAAAAACTTTAGGCGACTAAAACTTTTTCAAAATGAAGATCAAGACTTGTTACCTTAATAGCAAATTTTTTATAAATGTTTAAAATTTAGTTATTAACCAAAACCACATAATAACTTACATTTTCATTCAAGTTGCTTACAAGGAGAACAGATACTTGACGATTGCCACCACCAATGTTTTGGTTAAAGTTATTATTAGGACTTAGACTGCCCATCATATTTGGAAAACCACCACCAACTAAAAAAAAGTTTTAATTCTACAATAAGCAAATTTCTATTATGCTAACTGCACACAATATAAAGGCTCTATGCCCACTCCACATTTTATAACCTTTATTAAGTTTAATTGTATGCAACTTGACTAGATTAATAGTTTAGCAAACTAGTAATGGAGATATTGTTTTACATATGAGAGCTAAGTGCAAAAATTAAGACTAAACTGTTTTGAAATGTTTTTTGCGTTTTTAACTTTTGTTGTAATGTGTTTTTAACATAAACGTTAAACTTTACATACAGTTAAATCCTTGAGTAAAGAGCTGAGGTGGAAAGGAACTTGGAACTGGAAGCATCCCTGGATTCATCTGAGCTTGCATAGCTTGTAATTGAACATTTAGGTTATCATAATTAGATTTATCAGGTTTTGTGAAGTCTCTAAATAAAGATAACAGTTATTTTTAATAAAAATAGTAACTCAAATTATCAAACTAAATTGGATAGGAAAAGATATTCAAATAGTTTTGCATACATTCTCTTGCAAAAGTTTAGAATCAGTTTAGAATTGTTTAGGCAAACCCATAATTAATCAAAAATGACATACACAAAGCTAAGATTTTATCAATGTAATGTATGTATATAACATATATTCAATCTTAGCTTGTGTATGTTATTTTGTGTTATATACATATATGTGTATGTCAGGGTGTTAATCAGGAATAAATTTGCGTTTTGACGAAATTAGAAATTCATCAAAATATTTCCCAATCCCCCTCCCTGAGATTAAAATGTATTCCGGAAATGCATGAGATCCTTTCCTTATATTCTTTCTTAGAATATAATAAATAGAATAAAATACCGTCTTTAACATATATTGAAGATAAATATGAAATCAACAAAAAAAAAAGCCGTAGTTTCACAACGACACAGCAAATAAAGCTCTGATTTCCAAAGATATTGAGAATTATATATTTTTATATTATTAAACAATCAGTGTATATTAATTTTTATTAGGAATAATATATTTGATTTATTTTTAATCTTAATATATCATTGCCACTTTCATTTTAAGAGTATTATTTTGAATATATATATATTTAATGGTGGGCATAAAATGGCAATATTTAAACTAATATAGTGATTTATGTTCAATGAATCTCTGCAGAAGAGAGCTAATGAGCTTTTTGTGGTTGAAACCTTACATCATAATGTAATAAATTGTGTCCTCAAAAGAAATGTTTTAAAAATGGGAACATAGAAAAGGTTTGAAAATAATAAAGATGAGCTCATAAATTTCATATTTTATATTTATTGAGTTCATTTATAGAGTTGAGTTCATTTACAGAGTTCATTTTTATATTTAATATTAATTTTCTTTATACGTAAATCACATAGCGAAATAAAGTTACAATTCAAAAATTCAGCAAAAACAATAACAAATGTCATTTAATTACAAAAAACTATTGGTCTCAAGCATTTTCATGCTGTCGTTGCATCGAAAATTACCAATAATAATTTTTTAATTTATGGTCATAAAATGTTATGACTATGGTTTATTTAAACATTTAAATTGCTTTTTACATTTTAAATTCAAGCAAGCAGTGAATCCAATTTTCTTGATTTTTAAATTTCTAGTATTGTTTGTTGTAATAAAAAAAACATTCTTGTCATTTAACATATTTTAAACTTTAATATATAGATTTAATTTAGTAAAAGCATGCAGAAAAGTAAAGAAATCTATTTTCCTCGTTAAATAAATTTCTAGCACCAGGCGCAGGCGGCTTCTTGTTGACTAAGCACATGCACCACTAGAGGTTGAGTTTGCAGCAAGACTTAATTAGTTATTTTATTTTTTAGCCAAAAAGAGTAAAATTTTTAAAGAAATAGTTTTTGTGGGTGTTAAACCAAACAAGTTTTTTTTTTAAAGATTGTACTCTATTTCTTGCATTGCAAAACTTTATTTGCAAATTTTGAGAAATGAATTTTACAAGCAAGTTGCAGAGAAAATCCTTAAAATTGTTGAGGAAATACTAATTCTTAAAAAGTTTTTTTCAAGAGAAATTTTCGCAGTTATGTAATCGCGTAGTTGTACCAATAACAGCAAATTTATTTCAAGTTTTACACAATTAATAAATTAGAGTTTTATATGTCATCTTTTTATTACTTTTTAAAAATAAATAATTTTCAATAATTTTCAGAAATATTATTAAACTTTAATTTGGAGAATGGGATTTTTCAACCTTGAATTGGGAATTAAAACTTTTTGAGCATTTGGGAATACCACGTTTAATGGGGCCCCATAGGGCTAGTTTACACCCTGTATGTATATAACATGAATTAAATCTAAATAAATTATGGATTTACCTAAAAAAATAATTAATTCTAAACTTTTGCAGAAGACTGTAAATACATTTTTCACACAACAACTTCAAAAACTCAAGGAAAATGAATATTTCTGGAAAATTCTACAAGTTGATAGTATGGAAAAATACAAATTTAATCTTTATTTGAGAAATGAAGTTGATTTTATAAAAATATATATAAAAAATAAAACAAAAAAGTTTACTTGACCCCTAAATTGCAACTTGCGCAAACATTAGCAAAAAAACAGGCTGTTTATGACAGCACGTGCAAATGTTACAATATACAGTTATATAAAAGTACCTCATTTTTTCATTGTTGAATTTAACTACTAGTTCGCTCATTTTTGAGAACTCCACATGCAGAGTATTGCAGCCGTTATAAATATTTTGTTTATCAAAAAGTACTTTAGCAGCTGATGCTTCCTTAGAGTTAGAATATTGAATAAGAGCATGAAACTGATCATTACGTATGAATGTAACAACTTTCTGTATTTCACCACATCTTTGGAAGACCTAAAATTGATTTGAATGATTTCAATAAATAATAAATGTACTGATAAATCAAACTAACAAATACAATTTTAATGAAAAGACCTTTTTTAATATAAAGTAAACTTAAGTACCATCAAAGTTAAAGAACAAACAACTTTTATTAACATGTTTTGCTGCCTTTTTTTCTTACTATTTTAAAATTTAAAAACTTCATATTTTAGGCCTTCTCCTGGAATTGAGAATAAATAGACGTAGATGACTTATATAAACTTTATGATGGTTTATTAAATGATTAATTTATAAAAACCTAATTAAAAAATAAAATTAAATTTAATTATAAATATGGATAAGTAATGGCTTTAATCAAATTTTTATTATTACAATTAACCCATATTTATTATCTAGTGATTAGCTCAGGTACCATAAATTAACTTCTCATTTTTTATAAAATACTATTTATTAAAATCTATTTCATAAATCTAAAGTCATAGTAATATAAAAGTATATTGGCAAATTATTTAATGCAAAAATAAAAAATTAATACAAAGCTTAAAATCAACTTTAAATGTAAATAATAAAAAATTAATCATGTTTGTATAAAATGTATATAACATGTACAAAATGAGTTATTATTATTTTATTCATGTGTTTATGTAAATAAGGTAATTACAAGTTATCTAAAAAATTTTAAAATACTTTTTTAAACTTTTTTATGTTATGAATTTTTATAAATTGTAAATTTAAATTTTATATGAAATGATATTTATAATAAATGTATACTATGATTACCAAATATAGACTATATTACAATATATAGTTACCACACATACATGATTACCACACACACACACACAATTAACAAATCATCACCTGCTGAAGAACATCTATGGTAACAGGATAAATAATATTGGTAACAATGACTTTCAAAACACATCCACCATGTGGTCTGCTATCAGAATCTCCATTGCGATCACTATCTCTGTGGTTGTTTTGATTATTAGTACGAAGTTCTTGGTGTTGAGAAAATTGTAAAAAGACCTATAAAAATTGAATACTAAATAGTCTATAAACATTTTTCTATTTAGTTATTTAAGAAAAGCAAACATTACTAATAAATATTATAACAAAATAGACACTAGATTAGTCTCTATTATATATGAACAAAAAGTTTAGCAACAGTACCCTCGGAATTAGGAAAAATGAGGTTGGTAATAAATTGACACAAAAGGGGTTGCCATAAAACATAGAAACAAATTTTACACTTTAAGGTGGGCTAGTAAGGTCAGCAATGCTGAATGCCAACCCTAATTCCAAGGTTTGAAGGGTATGACTATTTGAGTTTGGTTTGAAAATAGTTAAAAACTGAAAATGCTAATTTACTATTTTTACAAATTTTTTTAAATTTTTAATTATTAAAAAAGTATTTTCTTTATTAATGATATATTTGTATTAAATAAGTGCACTCAAATTCCTGGAATTATTTTTTACATTTCAATTAATATCCTGTAATATTTTTATATCGAATTTAATGCTGCTACTGTCGCCTTTACTTATTTGTGCATGTTTGCACAAAACTCACAGCAGCCATTAGACCCAAGTTAATGGTGAGACAGAGTCGCTGCACTTTTTGTATAAGAAAATTTGAACAAGTGATATGCAAATATCAAACTTATGTGAACTTAAATTACGTTATGTTAAAAAATATATCAAGTTTTAAAGTTTTTAGACTTTGTTTTGTTTAACACCGTATGTAATTAATCAAAACATTTTAAAACCTTATTTAAAATAATCGCTTTGGCTACTAATATCTGAACCACTGATAAACAGCGATTTGCACATTGACTACCAAAGCATTTTAAACTTTTTTCAAGTTAATTGTCATAATTTTTTTTTTTAAAGCATAACTTTATGCAAGCCTTCCCAGGAAAGGCACGCCGTTTTTTTATCTTGTATGAAGAGAAAAAGAAAGAAAGCAAAATAACAAAATAGGAACTTAAAATAAACTTAAATAGAAAATAACAATAACAATAATTTAAATAATTTGTGTACTGTTTTTATTTTTGTTTCTTCATAGTGGTTATTATTTTCGGCAACAAAATTTGGTAAGTCAAAGCAAAAAAAAAAAAAAGAAAAAGTTTTAAACATTAAAAAGAACGATTTTCCTATATTTTTTTTAAAGGAAGAAAGTGAAAATATAAATTGTCGTCTGTTTGTAAAATATATTTGTATAATTTTAATGTAGTAAGTTTATATCAAAGGGTGAATCAATGCTAAATTTTTTAAACATTACGCTTTGATAAAGTTACGTTTACGTTTTTATAAGTTACTTAAGTTCTAAATATTATTTGGATATCCACTATATTTTTCTAGATGCTTTTCTACTTCAATTCAAATTTGGGAGAACTTATCTTATTTGACAAAGAATGAATTATAAAAGTTATAAGTACATTATAAAAGTTATAAGTAAAGTTATTATAGTATTATTACTATTATAGTGTTTTTTAACACTATAATTGTTAAATTTTATGAAAGTAATAACACTATTATAGTGTTATTACTTTCAGAATGCAGTTAGTCACTAGAGTGTTATTATTTTTGTATTTGTAAGTTTATTGTTTTATATTTAATAACTTTTTGGATAACAAAGTAAAGATGATTCGCCTCTTGAACACAAAGAACATGTTTTTGCATAAACTAAAATTTTGAAGACCAGATATTTTCCCTTAGGTTCGACACCGGCTCTAGCACAATAAGCGACAGGTAAGGAAGGAGGTGTGAAGTTCTAGTTAAATACTCTCCCACGGTGCTCCGTGATAAGACCGTAAGGACTTCTAGGAGCATCTAAATAAAAAAAAAAGAAGGTAAGAGCTATAAGATTTTTTTGATGTTCCAGGAAAAAAACTGGATTAATAAAAGTTTTAATAGCATGAAGGGATAGATACAGTAAAAGGATGCAACTTGCTGAATAAAAAGCCATACAAGAATGAGTTTCAGTTTATTGCTTTTGAGATAATAGCTCATTTGAGAATTGACAATAATTTTATTTGTAGAAAAAAGAAATGCAACCTTACAACAATGGGAGAGTGGCTCAAGCTTGGCAGATAAGCAGGTCTAATTACATTTACAATGTGCTTTTAGACTTTGTCTGAGAGTAAGAAGGCTGTTATTCGTTAATGTAGGAATCCTTAGCCCTATACTCTTTTTAATTTACATTAACGATCTTCCAGATATTCTCACATCTAAGGTGGCATTATTCGCTGACGACACTACCATTTACTCTTGTCATGATAAGAAGCCTACACTCTCTGATTGCTTGGAGGGGGTATCTAAGCTTGAAAAGGATCTCACTTCTGCTACAGCATGGGGCTCACAGTGGCTGGTGAACTTTAATTCAGATAAAACTCAATTTTATTCGGCGAATCGTCATCGTAATAATTTAGATCTTCCTATATTTATGAATGGTAATGTACTAGATGAGTCATCTACCATTCATCTTCTAGGATTAACTCTTACTTCTGATCTTTCTTTTAAACCGTATATCAAATCCATTGCAAAATTAGCATCTGCTAAGGTTGCATCTCTTTATCGAGCTCGACACTTTCTTACTCCAGATTCTATTCTCTATCTCTATAAATCTCAAATCCGTCCCTGTATGGAATACTGTTGCCACATCTGGGGCGGATCTTCTAATGATGCTCTTTCTCTTTTAGACAAGGTGCAAAAACGAATTGTAAACATAGTTGGACCTGCTCTGGCAGCCAATCTCCAACCTTTGTCTCATCGTCGTAATGTTGCTTCTCTTTCTCTTTTCTACAAATACTATAATGGGCACTGCTCTAAAGAGCTAGCGTCCCTTGTGCCATCTACTAAAATTCATTCTCGTGTTACTCGCCATTCAATTAAGTCTCATCCTTTTTCTGTGACTGTTCCTAAGTGCTTCAAAAACTCTTATTCTTCTAGTTTTTTTCTTCGAACATCAGTTCTTTGGAATTCGCTTCCTTCATCTTGCTTTCCTGATTCATATAATTTGCAATCTTTTAAGTCATCAGTCAATCGTTATCTTGCTCTACAGATTTAGTCTTTTCTCTTCCAGTAACTTCCAACTCTTATAGTGGTTGCTTGCAGCCTTGTTGGAAGTAAAGATGTTAAAAAAAAAAAAAAAAAAAAAAAAAAAAAGAATGCCAACAATATTGTAATATTTTTTTGAAGTAAGTGAGTTTTATTGTCTAACAAAAATTGTGGAGTTAAAGTCCAGAACTTAAACCCATAAGCCACTGCAAATCTTATGCTGTTACAGAAGAGAGATTTAAAATTGGCTGCTTGTTTTAAGTAATTTGTTACTTGAAATAAAGAAGAGGGTAAGCCTTCAAGAATAACTTTACTACTGCAGTCAGAAAGAAATAATTTAATAACCTTAAAACCTTTATATAAAGAAACTAATAACAGAGTGAAGAATAATCGTAGAATAGTTGGAGAGATCAAAGTGAAAGCACTTGCTTAGCACTTTTGAAAAGTTTAGCAAAAATTGATAAGAGTTCTGGAGTACACTTTTTTAACACTATGATGGAAATCTATTTTGGAGCACAAACTGTAGTTTAATTGTTTTAAGTGTTTAATTTAATTGTTTTAAGTGTTTAATTGAGAGTTAAATTTAGCATTGGAAGGCAGTGTGACTTCTATGTTTAACAATGGGTTAATCTGTTTGACTATCAGGAAGAGTATTATATTCAAGAGTCAAATTAGAGTAAGATTTTTTTTGCAAATAGCTGTTTTTATCTGAGGAAAAGTAAAAAGATCAGACCCATGAGTTAGAGATTAAATGTTAAACTTACTTCAGTTAATGGCACTGTTGAAGACTAACCAAAAGTCTCTTGAATCTAACATCTGAGATAAGATACAAGATTTACTAAACTGAGAAGTTTAGTAAATTACTAAACAGAACTTAAAACCAAACATGACTTATTTACATTGGCTTCTTGCAATAAAAGGACATTTGTTCGGAGTTTCTTGTAAAAAAAGATGATTAATCAAGTTTGGTTGAGAAGCGGAAGCGATTGCTCTCGAATACTGACTACAGAAATTATATTTAGTAGCGTAAAACTGGCCAGGTTTTTTAGTCGTTTTGAGAACATTTAAGTTTATTTATGAAACAATTTTTTTTTTTACGGACATACATGGAAACATAAAAAACTTGAATGTTCTCAAAACATCTTTGTGCAAAAGAAAAAAAAGAATATTTGCGAACACTAAAAACCCGCCAAACTAACGAACAAACTAATTTTATTGGTTCAAAAAATACGCTGATTAAGCGAAATAAAGTTCTAGAGTATTCTGTTAAAATGTTTTAGAAATTGTATTATTCACGATTTGTTACGCTTTGAGATTTCTAGAATTGATTAAATTGTTAAAATTTTAAAAGTTTATTATAAATTATAGATTTTATTAGTATATTCTTATTTTTTATTTTAAAAGAGATTGTATTCTTTATGTAAATAAAATTATGTGTATTTGTTTTTTATTGTTATGTATCTTTTAAAGCAAATAATTAGATAAAAAGAGAATAATTAGATATAAAGATAAGTTTCTAGATATTGGTTTACTAACTCTAATTATTTTCGCTTAAGTTGCCATTCTTTAAACTCGTTTTACTTTTTTCTGCATTAAATACTAATTAAAATTAAAAAGCCCACTCACTAAACATCATCAACAATATTGTGAAGCAGTTTTGCTAACTGGTCATTAAGTATTTTTAACCTTTTTAGTTGATTTCTATCATGATAATTTAATTCCTATAGTAATTCAATGATTTAATTATTTTATTTGTTTATCCTACTAAGAAGAATCGCTTCAGATATGTTAAACTTTTCAAACTACGCGAAACATAAAATAGGTTTTAAAAAAATTAACTTTTTTATTTCTAAAATAATTTAGCTTAAAGAAAACTAAAACTTGCAAACTTAGTTAAATAAAGAATATTTGTTTCTCTTTTAAACAATCGTAAGTTGTTACTTTATATAAAAAACATCACCTATTTTTATAAAAAAAAATTATAAAAGCGGGAGGTTTCGAAAATATTCTAAATGTAACTTATTTAGCTTTAGGTTAAAAGATATTTTATTTGCCTATTTTATTTATTTTTTTGTAATAGTCTCTCATCGGTCCAATTAATCTTTGTCACTTTTTAAAAGGTTCTCAAAATGACTAAAAAATCTGGCCAGCTTTTCGCAACTAAATATTATTTACATGGTCAGCAATCGAAAGCGATTGCTCCCGCTTCCCGACCAAGCCTGATTAATGTTTAATAAAGCAACTGCTCAAGTAAAATGAGGCTTAAAATTGAAGAGGAATAATAAGTACTTCCAAACTTTTATTAATAATTATTCCAAAATTTTATTCAGAAGGAATAAAAGCTTCCAAGATGCACTTTATGCATATATATATTAATGGATATAAACATATCTGTTTGCTATTTATTTAGGTACTGGCATACAATATCTTTTCACTTTTATAAAAACTTTAGTATTTATATGGTGTAACATTTGCCAATTGAGATGATCAGATGGATGTGTGGTGTGAGCAAGACAAGAATAGGAGGCTTTAGAAACAGATTAGAAAAAACCATGTATCGTATACTTAAATTAATTTAATCTATATAAAACATGTTTTATATACATAGATCATTCTAGTCATATTTTAAAAATCCGGAAAATTCTTTGAATAAAATATCCGGAAAAAATCCGGAATTTGTTTTCCCTTATTTTTTTTTTTAATTTTGCTTTAAGCTAAGTTATTTAAAAAAATTTTTGACATTTTTTATAATTTTTGCATGAGTGATGAGTAAAAAAGCTTAAAAAACAAATATATTACAAAAATATATACCTCAACATGCATGTATTAAAAATATTTTGGATATCCGGAAAAACTAAAAGTTAAACGAAATATCTGGAATTTCGGAAATGTCCGGAAAAAGATAATCCCTGTATATAGATTAAAGTAATTTAAGTATCAGCATGTAGAGAGGTAGAAGCTTCAGTAGAAAATGGTAGTGGCAAAAGTAAAAACTTGAAGAGAGTGCACTACATATTGTATGAATGAGCTTTAGTTAAGTTTGGCATGCCGGTCTTCTCCATAAGCTTGCTTCATATGGTGTTTCTGGGAAGTTTTTGAGATTATCAAATCGTTTCTCTCTAACCGGTTTATTAAAGTCATCCTTGAAGGCCAACACTCTTCTTTATTTCCAGTAACTTCTGGGGTTCCCCAAGGTTCCATCCTGGGCCCTGTTTTGTTTCTTATCTACATAAACGATCTTCCTGACAACCTTTCATCTAAAGTAGCTCTTTTTGCTGATGACTCAACTTTATACTCCTGTCTTGACAAAAAGTTTTCTCTTTTCGATCGTCTAGAACAAGCAGCTAATCTTGAATCTGATCTCACTTCAGTAATAGATTGGGGTTCACAGTGGCTTGTGAATTTCAACTCTAAAAAAACCCAATTGCTTACTGCAAACAACTACCGTAATATGGTCAACATTCCTATATTAATGAATGGCAATCCTTTTACTGAGTCCTCCTCTTTACGTCTTCTTGGATTATCGCTTACTACTGACCTTTCATGGAAACCATATGTACAATCGATTGCTAAATTAGCTTCTGCTAAGGTTGCTTCTCTTTATCGTGCTCGCCATTTCCTTACTTCTGATTCCATTCTCTACCTCTAAAAATCTCTTATTCGTCCCTGTATGGAATACTGTTGTCATATTTGGGCTGGTTCTTCTAACGATTCACTTTCTCTTCTTGACAAGGTCCAAAAACGCATTGTAAATGTTGTTGGACCTGGACTATTTGCTAAGCTTGAACCTCTTTCCCATTGTCGTAAAGTTGCATCTCTTTCTCTTTTCTACAGATACTATCATGGTCACTGCTCAAAGGAGTTATCATCTCTAGTTCCATCAACTAAAATTCATTCTCGTTTTACTCCCCGCACTTCAATCCTTTGGAACTCTCTCCCATCTTTATGTTTTCCTGACTCATACAACCTTCAAAAACGTCAACCATTTCCTTGCTCTACAACTCTGTGCTTTTTTTTCTCCTAGTAACTCCCAACTTAATAGTGGTTGCTTGCAGCCTTGTTGGGAGTGAATGCAAATAAAAAAAAAAAAAAAAAAAGTAAAAAAATATTCTAGATTGTTTATATTAGAGAAATAGCATAAAAGTGGAAGGCTAAATCCTGATGATGATCATCATCATCAGCATGATTGATGATGATGACAATCATCGTCAACAGGCTTTAGTTTTCCTCTTTTATGCTGTTGATGATGATCACGATGATAATGATGATCATGTTTATACATGCATATATATACAAAATATAACATGAACTTTGAATAAAAAAATATATATACTTTAGAATGTATAAATGTTTATGCAGCCCTAGTCCCAAACCCAGCCAATATCCATCCTGGTCACTTACTATTTATTTGTAACTTAATTAACTCTAATTAAAGACTTTTTTAATAACAGAGTGTTTGTCACATTTTATCAGGTAGCTTCACATTTTATTAAAAAATTACACAATTATAAAAAATACTTACAGGTTGATTACGAATAGTTGGAGAAACATAAGTATAATAGTTTATCATAGTTTTAGCGCAATCAACATCCTGCAACTCTAGAAACGCTTGTGATTTCGACCTCATCAGAAGCATATTGGTTACCTCACCAAAAGGTAAACCTAAAGATTTAATTTCAGGTTCTGTTGCATCCATAGGTATCTGTCGAATATGAATGACTTTGGAAGGTGTTTGGTCCTGCTTTGACTTAAAAAGAAACATGAAAAAACTCATGACTATTTTATATTATACAATATTAAATCAAATATTAGTTTTCCAAAACTATAACTATTGCTAAAATGAATATAATTCAAATTATAATCTAAATTTATGGTAACATATTTTAACATGTAACTAACTTTTTTAGTTTTAGGAAATTTTTAACACTAAAAAATTTCAAAACAAACACTTAAAAAAACATGCTTTTTAACTATTTAAATAAAATACATCTAAATTTGAAATAATAACAACCTTTTTAGTGTCCATATCGTTTGAGTCGTCAGGGTATGTACGCTAAAAAAAAAAAAAATTAACAAATTCAAAATGAGGAATAAACAAAACAAATCCATAATCAAGCATATATCATAGATGTTTGAGCTTTAAAAAAATTAATACTTTTGTAGTTTTAATTATAACTTATAAAAGTCTTTGTACTGTAAGCTTTATAACTTTTACAAAATTCTTTTTGCAACATATATATATATATATATATATATATATATATATATATATATATATATATATATATATATATATATGTATATACATCTTAGTGTGTATGTGTACATCTTGTGTATACATCTTAGAGTGTATATACTTCACAAGAGCTCTGAAAATTTTTTTATGAAAAACAGAGCTAAATGCAGAATATGTATTATATAAATAAAAAATATCATTCCTCTTAAAGTTTCATGTTAATAACAATCAATATATGCAATTATAAAATCAAGAATTCAAATAAATCTAGACTTTAAAACCCTTTAAAAATTTTCGCTGTTAAATCAATAGCTTACGTGGTCATTAAAGGCATATTCTTTCAAGTATATATTCTTAAATTTTTAATATATACAAACAAAAACACTCTTATCAACTTATTAAAAGCTTGTTTATAACTGAAAGCACAAATACAAAGTGTATTTTTTAATTATAAAAATTTTACTAAGTCATAACTTACTTGTGATTACTCATTTTTGTTAAAAAATTATAAACAAAATTTTGGTCTTTTTAAAAACAATAAAGAATTTTGTAAATAATTACAATTTACTTGTATGAGCTTGAACTACGAGTAAATAAATTTTTTTCGAAGTTTAACGCTCACGTGTTTTATTACATTAAAAAAAACGTAATTTATTTACATACCTTATTTCCGATTGAGCTTTGGTTCATATCAGGTACGGCCCTAAAGAAAAAGAGACCATGATAGCAAGAAGGAAGCAAAAAGACAAGAAGAAAGGTTTAGACAAGTATTAAAAGCAGTCCGACGAACCGCTTAGAATAATATATATATTTATAGCCATAAGTATAAATTAGACAGCGCCCCGTCAAAAATAAAAATGTTCAACCGAGTTGGCATATGACCTAAAAGTCATAAATATTTTAGTTAACAATAATTATGTAAATAAACATTAAAAAATATTAAACGGCAGAAGGTCATATGTTAAGTAAAAAAAAAAAAAACTTTAAAAAGTAATTGAGTCATTTTTTATCGCCCTGTTGTCAGTACAGTAACTTAATTTAGGAAAATTTTAATTTTAGCGTAATATGCAACTTAGAGATAACTGACGTAAACGGTTAGCGCCTTGGTTAGCCGCTTGGATTCTGGGAAAGTTTGTCATTAAAGTTTTGACTAGAATATATTGAAACAAAATTAAAACAAAACAGTTTATTACAGAATTTATGTATCCTAAAAAATCGTTAATGTCTAAGTAAAACATATTACAATTACTTAATTTTATATCTGAGCCTTGCTTAGATTTTCTATCTGAGCCTTGGTTAGATTACCATTCCTTGTTAATGATGTATATTTTAACTATAACCTATATATGTATTGCATTAATTACACACTATTTGAATGGTAAATGTTATATTCAGACTGCTCACACCTGCAATTATTTCCAGTAATTCTGTTTATAAATTTAAAGTCTCTCTAAAAGTTTAGAGATGTTTATAAAACTCATTAACAGAACTATTAAATCCAAGATAAAACATGTTCATATTTCACATAGATGTTATCAAAATCTTTATATTTCTAAATAGATTTTGAGTACATAAGGCAAAATGCTGTAATTTAATTATTCAAAATAAGAAAATCTTAGATTCAAAAAATTATTAATTTGGGATTAAAATGTCAAGGCCTAACAAGTACTTAGTACGTAGCAAGGAAGATAGCCTACCTTCTTGGGAAGCACACGATAAAGATTGATAACAATGAAGTAACAAAAGAGATCAGAAACTGCTTTCAAGACAGATATCTAAAATTAGAGAATCAGATTATACAAAAAGATTTCCTATAATAATAAAAAAGAATTTAAAGAACATAGCCTAAATTTATTCACTCAATGCAGCTAAACAGTTTAGAAATAAAACAGTTTAGAAATAGGGTTTTGCATAGTTAACTTAAAATTATCAATATTTCTTTAAATTTAGATTTTTCATTTAACAAAAAAAAATCATTTGTCATTTAAAAGCCAAGAAAAAGCAAAACAAAAAAAGTAACAAAAATTCATATGGTTTTAGCGAAAAATTAAATTCTTTTAGCTTTTAGCTTATTTTAGAAAAAAAAAATCATTTTGATGTTTTGCTTATTGGTGCTAAATAATGATTTTTTTGTGTAAAATCCAAATAAAATAACCGAATAACTTATTCGATTTAAGACTTTAAGAAACACGACGCTTAGAAAATGAAAACAAGAAGTAGACAATTATAACTGAGTAGAAAAGAGGATACTATACCTGATCTTTAGAGATGATAAAGAATAAATAGATGATAATACAAAGATATTTAATAAGATAAAATGTTCTGCGTTACCCAAGAAAAAGCAATATGCCTAAACTTGAATGGTCAGCGTGGCAAGTAGAACTCTCGGTGAATAGCAGCTGGCGATATATTTAACATTATGCAAGTTTACTATTGCGGAGATAACAAAAAAGCGCGTGATATTTTTAAGCCGGAGTTTCACTAATTTTATTTCGGGAAGTTTTTTTTATATAGATAATTATTCTTATATTTTTAATTTGTATGAATTTTTGATAAGATTACATTGTGTAAGCTTTTTAAATGTTAACTTCAAAAATTTATGTATAACTAATTGCTAAAAACTGCTTCGCACAAATTATAAACCACAGCTCAAATAAGAAAATTAAAAAACCGTAATTAGCGCAGCAGTTTAACCAAAATATCATTAGAATCTTTCACTTTGTGATACAAGCACCAAATTTTGCATGTGACAAGTTTAACTATCTTTTTAATAAAAAAGCACATTACCACACAAAAAAAATCAAAATGGCGGGCACTTTTTTAATATGGCGGACAATAACTAAAATTCCTATGAAACTAAACGATTAAATGTATTTATGTATAAATGTATAAAAGCACATGTATAATTATGTATAATTATACATTATAAATATAATTATAATTATATAAACATGTATAATTATGTATAAATGTATAAAAGCACATAAGTTGCAAATAAACACCCATAGCTCAACTAGAAATTGCTAAACATATTTTTTGCAACATAGAGATACATTCAAAATCAATATGGAGGTGTTGAAGGCTATTTTAAATTCAAAATGGTGGACAAAAGACCACCACATTCTGATATTATCGACATTTCGCCCCTCTAGAAACCTAGGAATGGAATCTCCTGTCGTAGAAAGTATCTAACCAGTCACAAAACCTGTGACGAGTATCATTCTATCTTCTTAAATCTACAAATTCATTTTATATATAGATATTTACAAATCGGGTCAATCCTTTACCATTCAAACAAAACAAAAACAAAATTTTTTTTTTTTTTTTCTAAAGAAACTTTTAGGCTCTTTAGGTTTAACTCTTTACAATTTCATAACATTTTCAAAAATGATTATGAATCACAATGACAACTTCATAGAGCAGTACACGGCAAACTCAGCTTGAAGCACTTACATCGACCGTGACATTAATTTTTACATCCACATTTTGTAAGCTGCTTGGATGACTCTCAATTGGAGGAAGATCGGACCATACAACTGTCCATATATCATCCTTTAGCTTCGAGCCCCAATCAGATAGACTTACTTCTTTCATTGAATATGTCAATGCCAGACTCCATATGCGTCCTGTTTGATATGCTGCTCGTTTGGTATGTTGAATCAGTGACGCTTTTGGTGGAGAGATAGCATCAAATGAAAGTTGTTTCCTGGCATAAAAACGTTCATTTGATAATATCTCGCTTCGTCAACACTAGTCATTGGACTAGACCTGTCAAACAATGAAACAAAATACACCTGAATCATAGCGATATCATTACCATCTACTACCAGGGATAGGTACTCAACTTCCGAAACACATTGGTCACATCAGGACAGACGCTCCACGTTTTTCATATTGATTTTTTCCTTTTGCCTTTGAAACCTGTCCCTTTATCGCAGCCAGAAAAGGCATGAAAAAATAAAATTCCAGCAAATTTTTTATGTCCCAACTTATTACTAACATCATGCACAGGTATCCATTTCCCATTTTTCCCCTGACCAAACTGAATTTAGGGCATAAGTGAATTCACAAGAGCTGACCTATCCATTGTAATAGCTTTGGCGTTTGGTGGTTTGTCTGAGTTAACGACTGCTTTGCCAAGAACTATTGCCAGCTGGGACTTTTGGCATGAATGTAGTCTCCTAGAGTCACTCAATGCAGCCGGAAAAGCTTGGTTTTCATGTTAAAAGAAGTCATTTAGGTCGCATTCTCTGGCTTGACAGGGTATAAATAACTTGGAAAATAATCCGCAGTCATCTTTTAGGTTCTTCTGTTTTAGATCCTTGTTTGTCTGTTTTAGCTGACTAAAAAAGTCTACCTTGTTTTTCTTTATAGGTTCGTAGAATTTACTCTCGGAGTCAGGTAAAAGACATACCATAAATTCTTCAAATTGTTTCTTTCCTGTCTCATAATGAGTAGCAAATTTCTCCACCATACTTAGATTAGCAAATTTTTTGGTATCTAGAGTCAACAAGTCTTTTGTTTCTTCCAGGAGCGGATTTCCCATCTCAGTAACAGTACTGTACAATTTGTTTACACGTTCCAGAAATGTCTTTTTTGCATGGGTGGTCTGCTCATGATGTTGCATTTCATTATCATCTTTGCCATCTGATATCTTTTCATACGTACTAACGAGATGGCTCACCTTGGGATCAGCAACCATCCATCGTCTGAGAGCCAACGGATCTTCCGTGACACCGATTGCTCCATCTTTGCCTTTAATAACAGCATTTGCGTGTTCCTGGGCTTGATCTATTGCTAAGGCGGAAAATTCTCGAGATGATTTATGGACCACAAAATTGCCCTTCAGAAACTCAGTTTCTATCTGTGGATGAGTGTTATCTAAACACAGCATATCTCGGAGATGGATTGGTAATTAACGAGCATAATTGGTGTTGTTATTTGCAAAAAATAGGGTAATAATTCTAGCGAAGCTTGGCAATATAAATCGAAATTGGCTTTTCTGAAAGACCGTACTAACAATAGAATGGTCAGCTTTTGGAGCAAGAGGTGGAAGCAGTGCTTGATTTTCAACTTGTGGGGAATTTGGATTTTTTGTACCAAAAAAGGCAGGTGGAACATTGGTGTAAGAGTCTGGAAAATTAGAAATGGTATTAATCTTCTTATCAATTTGCCATGGTTCCTGTAATACTCCCTCATTTTCCAAAGTTGGGTGTTGGAATATAGAAACACTTATTCCATTGAATGAAGACGTTGATGTTGTAGCCGTTGGATTGTGATCTATATTATCCATTTCTGAGGTTGAAAACAAACCTTTTCTTAAAATATTTTGACATACCACACCTTCGGCTTTATATTTGTCAACAGCGGCATTGCCTAACTGAGCCGAAACCTCAAGCACCTTATCGCATGAAATGCTTAGACCATGATCATAAAGTAATTCCACTTAATGTTTCTTTCTGGTTTTCAAGTAAATAGACAATCCCAAAAACACCAGGAAGGGGGTTTGACGATCTATTGAGTGTCACAACAATTTACCCTCCTCTTGATATTTAGTATAGCAGTTATACTGAAAAAATTGGGTCATGGCTAGGTCAGTTTTGGATGGTCCAAGTCATAATTGGAATTTTATGTCAGCTCCATGTTTGATCATAGAAACGAATTGAAGAAGCATGAGTGGTATCGAATCCTCAATACAGTTGTCATTGAAGGTACCAGTAAATGATGATTTATGGTCCATCATTTGCTCGCGAAGTATTTTTGCTGCTTTTATGATAATAATGGCTTCGGTGTAGTCTGCAGCCTTTGATAGAACTGTTCCAACATTTTCTTTAAATGCCAATAGAACATCTTTACTTTTCTTGTACGCTTCTAGTCCTGCTATTTCTGCTAAAAGTTTGTCTTTGAGTCTGGTTGAATTGACATTATAATCATCGACTCCAAATTATTGTAATCGCTGATGGTACAGACTTACCAAATCGGCTTATATATTTAATAGAGACTAAAGCAAATACACCTGAGCCCGACAAACCACGGGATCAGGTGCATTTGTTTTAGTCTCTATTAAATATATTAAAAGCGCTGAAAAAACCTGAGGGACCACTTCTTTTTCTGTATCTGTTTGACTTTCCTGGTCCCCTTGTTTTAGTAGAAATCATCTTTCTCTGTTATAAAGTGCTGTTAAACAAGAACAGTGGTACTTCAGCTCTTGGGCATCTCCTCCACTTAACCGTGCTAACAGCTACCCGTCATTTAATGTTCTCGCTCATTCATTTAATCTCTTATCTAGTTGCATTGTCACAGCTTGTCAAAGATCTGCCGATGGTTCTATTTTTACACAAAAATAGCACACTTGCTTTTCGATATTCAATAGTCTACCTTTTATTGATGTTACCTCTGTTGAACTTGAGGATGCTACCCTTTTAGTTGCTCTGTCAAGCTTGCTATTGCTGAACATTAGTCTGCAACTTTGGTGATACTTTACTTGGTTTTTGCGGAGTGTTTTCTCTATTCCGTCTCCTTCGTCTAACCTTCCAGGATTAAGTAAAATTGATAACCTGTTAATGTCCTTGAATAAAGGAACATTTCTTGCAATCATGACATATTCGTCTCTATCTTCTCTAACCTCATATTTGGAAGGAGTTGATTTTAACTCTTCCTCCTTTTCCGTCTAGCAAAGACAACATTTACTCCAGCCAGTTGCTGTTGGGGCAGCTAACACATTCAATTCTGACATAACAATTAACAAACATTTTGTATGAAATCGGATCAAAATGTAAATAATAACAAACCACAATATATGTAAATCTTAATAATATTCTAAGGCCGAGGGTTTATCCTTTTACCACCTTAGATAAAGCACATAGATGTATGGGATACAACTAGATTTGAATTGATCTTTAACGTCAATCTTACATCTAGCCCGATCATTCATCCAGTGTCAATTCAATCCCGTTTGATCTGTACACCGTCCGGACAACTAAAGCCCTGTTATCCTTGGCTCGGCTCTCCCGCGCTGGCAAATCCTGTCAATCAGGTGCGGCTATCTCACTTTTTTACAGTAATATTCCTAAATAGAAGTAATAGTACTATATGTAGGGTTAGCTCGATAGCATTTGAAAAGTATTAAATTATATATCAGCTGACACTGAACCCCATTCTGAGTCTCACAGCAGTGGTATCACCAGTGTGCCCTGGTTGTGCTAAGGCGACCACTCCATAAATGTATATACATACTGATTATATAAAAAATAATTGTAATGATATCAAAAGCAGCAAAATTTAACCAAATCATAATTGAATTCAACAAATACCATCAAAATCAAGTATAAAAACCATCAAAGTAACAGAAAAAGGCCTAAAAGTTTATACATTTTGACAAAATGTTTGCA